CGAGTGGAGGCAACACGTGACGCGCAGCGTACGCTTCAGACCCGACTTGAACCGTGATGACTTACTTTCAAATCGTTGTAGAGGTTGATTTGCAATCCCGAACGAACTCTGTAAGCGCTCTCTGCTGCCAGTCTTGGTTCGTAGGAAAGTAGCGACTGGACTCGACGGCAAGACTCAAAAATGCCACGTCTGGCTCAGCGACGCCGGATTGTCGACGCTTCCGCCAAGTCTGATCGAGTAGTCGTGAGTCGTGAGTGTTATAGAGGAAGTGAGCTTGTTGGATGTCCGGAGCGCGAGAACATTCTGCGCGGTGTTGACCTGCTGCTCTGCTTCGCGCGTCGCGCTTGTCCGTCAAGCTGCAAGCGGAGCAGCCGCGCGCCAGCCTCGCCCAATGCGACCATGCAGCACCCGCAACGCTTCAAGCTTTGCAGGGCGGCCGCTCTCCGCTTGACTCTCATCAGGTCACAGGCGGCAAGACGTGAGTCGGAGTCAAAGCAAAGCAGAGCAATGCGACAGACAGCGCCTCGATCACTCAGACTTGATCTTCCATCCTCTGCGTCTCATCAAGACCCTCTGCTCCTACTGTGAGCTTCGACATTATCGATTGGAGTCGTCCAGCCACACACTCCGTTGAACGTGTGAAGTCGCATACAGCAGCACGAGTGTGCTTCTCCCACACCATCACCACCTTCTCGTGCGCGAGACCGGAAGAGCATCCTTGGCCCACGCTCCTCTGCAATACTCGGAATCTGCCCTAGTTGCACAACAGGATCTTCAATATGGACACTGACCTTATCAAGGTCGTGAATAAGCTCCAGGAGACCTTCAGCACGATTGGTGGAGATGCTGTGGATCTTCCTCAATGCGTAGTGGTTGGGGCTCAGAGTTCGGGCAAGAGTAGTGTGCTGGAGACGTGAGTGCTGGCAGTGGGAAAGGATATCGCGGCTTTTTAGCAGTCAATGTGGTTTGCCAGGCGTTTCAACCTTGCCATTGTCGCTTTTACGGCGCTTGCGGACGATCACTGGACGCTGCTGCTCAGGACATGCGCGTGCATGGTTGGTAGAGATGCTCAGAAGTGGGGCGACGCTGATAATGTAGCTTTCCTTTGCGTCACTAGCCTGGTTGGCAAGGACTTCTTGCCGCGTGGGCAAGGCATCGTCACACGTCGACCTCTCGTCCTGCAGCTGGTCCACCAGCCCAGCTCAACAAACGCCGATGGGGAATTTGCAGGCACGAGCACAGCTGCTCCAGGTCCAGGTCCGTCCTCTTACGACGAGTACGGCGAATTTCTTCACCTCGACAAGCGTTTCACAGACTTTAGCGAGGTCAGAAGGGAAATCGAAAACGAAACGTATCGAGTTGCTGGACAGAACAAGGGCATCTCAAAACTGCCGATTCACCTCAAGATCTATAGCCCCCATGTCCTCAACCTCACCCTCGTGGATCTGCCAGGATTGACTAAGGTGAGCCGTGGCCTTAGCGCCCTCGTGTGTCTTGCGGCGTGTATGCTCTTGTAGGAGGCTGATGAGGCCACATGCTCGCGCATTCTACAACAGATACCTGTCGGCGATCAGCCCACTAATATTGAGCGACAGATCCAGGATCTCGTCACCTCGTACATCTCCAAACCAAATTGGTGGGTGGCAGGCACGCATGGTCACTTAAAAATGCGTGGTGACTGGCTCAAACGTCCTTTCCCCAACTCTGCATCCAGCATCATCATTGCCATCTCACCAGCAAATGTGGATCTGGCTAACTCTGACAGTTTGAAGCTGGCTCGTTCGGTGGACCCTCGCGGCCTCAGAACTATCGGCGTTCTCACAAAACTCGATTTGATGGACAATGGCACACATGCTCTTGATGTCTTGACTGGCCGAGTCTATCCATTAAAATTAGGCTTTGTGGGCATCGTCAATCGGAGCCAACAGGATATCAATGGCAATGTGTCAATGCTGGCTGCACGTAGAGCCGAGGAGGAATTCTTCAAGAGCCACAACGCTTACAAAAACATCTCACATCGTTGCGGCACCAAGTACTTGGCCAAGACTCTGAATCAGGTGAATGTTGCGATGCTTTTTGGGAGCGAAGCTTGATGCTCATCAGTTTCGACTTGTTGTGCAGGTTCTGATGGCACACATCCGCGACAAGCTGCCCGACATGAAAGCACGCCTCAACACGCTGATGGGCCAGACACAGCAAGAATTGGCATCTTTTGGTGACACGGCATTCTTGGGAGATGCACACAGAGGCACGCTCATCTTGAAGCTCATGACGCAATTTGCGAGAGACTTTGTGGCCTCGATCGAAGGTACGACATTTGACATTTCAACCAAGGAACTCTGTGGAGGCGCGCGGGTCTACTACATTTTCAATGACGTCTTCGGACACGCCTTGGACTCGATCAATCCCACCCAGAATTTGACGGTGACGGACATCAGGACCGCGATACGAAACGCAACTGGACCTAGGCCCAGCTTATTCGTTCCTGAAGCAGCTTTCGAGCTTCTGATCAAGCCGCAGATCAAGCTTCTAGAGCCGCCTTCTCTAAGATGCGTGGAGCTCGTCTACGAAGAGCTCATGAAGATTTGTCACAATTGCACAAGCACAGAATTGCAAAGATTCCCAAAGCTGCACGCTCAACTCATCGAGACGGTCTCTGAGCTTTTGAGAGAAAGACTTGGTCCTACTTCAGAATACGTGCAAAGTCTCATCGCCATTCAAGCGGCGTACATCAACACCAATCACCCTGCCTTCGTGCAGGACTCTGCCAACATCGCACGCTCAACGAGGGAAGGCCACCGGCAACCTGCGCCTGCGATTGCAGCTGGGTCGGAGACGAGCTCGACGGCGGGCGTGTTCGAGGAGGACGCTGATGACGACGATGGGCCTTCTCGGGGCCCTAATGGCCTGGCAGGCGGCGCAAAGAACAGAAGCGACACTAGGGCCACTTCATCGAGCTATGGCGATAGCAATGGGCGCAATCAACTTTCTGCCGCGCACGCCTCTACCATCGGCCACGCTTCGTCCGGCGCTTTCTCACGCACAGGAAGGGCAGCAGATGGCGCCAGCGCGACAGGTCCTGCTGGTGGAAGAGACTTTTTGAACTACTTTTTCGGAGGAGCTTCTGGCATGCCTGGATCTGCCAGCGGTCCCGTCGCAGCCGGACCACAAAGTCAAAGAGGTGCATTTTCCGAGTACGGTCGGGATCAGAAGTCCAATCCGATGCTAGGTCGCTCAGACCTGGAAGGCAGAAGTGCGGCTTTCGATATGAAGAGCCTGGAGAAGCACATCGAAGCGGTGAGTACGATGCACGCCTGGCCAGGTAGCTCTTTCAACCGCTTACCCTTTTCGCATGATGTACGGTAGACGCCTGCCTCCGACGAGTTCAGGCTGTCGGAGCGAGAAGTTTTGGAGACTTCTCTCATCCGCTCTCTCATAGCTTCGTACTTCACAATCGTTCGACAGTCCATTCAAGACTTGGTGCCAAAGGTGTGTGCAAACACTGACGCCCTTGACCTACTCGTCTTGCTCACCTTTGAGTTTTGTCCTCTATCGTCAGGCCGTGATGCATCTCCTTGTCAATTTCAGTCGAGATGGTGTGCAGGCGCGCCTCATCAGTAGATTGTACAAGGAATCTCTCTTTTCAGATTTGCTGGAGGAGGACGAAGCGACAAACAACGAGAGAAGGCGCGTTCAAGCCCTTCTGGAGGCGTATAGGGAAGCCCATCAGAGTGAGTCGGCTTGGACTTGCCTCGAAAGGGTGTGTAGCGCCTGACGCATGCCCGACTTGCCCCTATTAGTCTTGTCCGAGGTCACTTTCAAGCCGTGATTCGGCTAGACATACTCTTTCCACCCCTGTGCATTTCTTGCAGTGCAGTCTACCGCGCTCGATCTGTAGCTCTGAGTCTGATCGCCACTGTATCCTTCGCCCCAGTGACACTCGCTTGTCACTCCACAATGCACCTCACCTTTCTATCTGACTCAGAAACTGATGCACGCCTGCACAAGTCTGTGTTGTTGTATGAGATTGGCGTTGCAAGAGTGATACAGGGCGTGACTTGGCTCGCGTAGCCTGAGGACAAAATCGGGTCGAATGAAGAGAGCGGCGGGCAAAATGGTGGTCATGAAGAAGCAGCTGCGGCTTCTGCCCCATGCTCGAAACTCTGCGAAATCAGTTGAGATACAGCACCGAGATACCCGTCGCTCTGCTCGATATCGTTTCGGAAGACTGCGCAGTAGAGGTTTGAACATTGGCGCTGTGGGCGTCAGCAGCGTCTTCCTTGGAGCAGAAGGGACTGCAGGGTCATAGCAACGATGCAGCTCTGAGTACTCACGGAAGAGGAGGCTCTCGCTGAGCCTGAGCACTTCGTCCTTAGTTAGAGAATCGCGACCATCAGAGTGTAGCTTGAAGAACCATTCGATGCTAGCCAACACATCCCCTCTGGCCGACATGATGGCGTCCAGACCGCTCACAATGTCCTGAACATGTACGCGCGAAGGACGGCAATCAGCCAGATCTGTGTCCACCTTTCGATCGGAAGCGCAGGTACTCCTAATTCCTCACCTGGAAGCTAAGCGATCCACGTTTCTCCGTGTCCCAGTACTTGAAAATGCGCGTAACGAGCTCATTCTCCGGCACTTTTCGCTCGATGCGTTCCTGGAAGCCATTCGAAACGACGTATTCGTCGCGTGCCCACGTAGCGACTTCCGCCATGAAGTATTTGAAAGTCTTGAGGTCCACCCTCATCTCCTTGTAGTCAACTTCGCCAGCGCCTGCAGCGGACCCAGGAACATCACCAGCAATAGCCGTCAGCGCGGGCACTTGTGTGGGAGTGTTTTCGCCCTCAGGATGCACGTTCGCTGATTGAGGCGCGTGTCGTGTGCGGTATATGGCTTCGACTAGCTGATCATAGATGAGTCCACTGCGATACATAGTTCGAGAGGGTAAGCCTGACTCGGAACTGAACATCGCGCATTTGACTTACGCTTGCTCTTTTGACAAGTGGCCCAAATCGCGCAAGTTTCTGATTGCCCCCCTTCGAGCGAAGAGCTCAATCTCTTCCACAATCTCTTGCCTGAAGCGTCTCCTCTCGCTCGCAATGGTCTCATCCGTCACCACGCCGAATTCCCTAAAGGCGACGACGAGCAGCTCTTGGAAGTTGGTGATCTGCCTGTGCCTCGGATTGGTGGCCTCTGGATGAGCCGAGTCTCCGAGAGTTCTAAAGTACCTCTTCAGAAGGTTGATGAATGCCCCATCATCCGTCACTCGGCCCGATAGAAGCTCTTCGCCGTTGATCTTGAGGATCGCAAGACCAACTTGGAAGAGCACTTTTGGCCCCATCGCCATGAAACAGTCTACTATCCTGAAAGCAAAGACCATCGGCATGGAGTTGATGTAGAGCGAGAGGAACCAGGGCAAAGAAGCGACCGATAATTGGATATCAGTCTGAAGAAAGTGGTCGTGAATCATGGGCAAAGTTCGCTGCACGAGATGTTCAAACACCTTCTGGTCCAGAATGGTTCCCGACATCGACTGACTGTGGACAAAGCATGTCACATGGGATGAGACTCATTTCTGAAGAACTTTGAGACTATTGAAACTCACGTGTAGTAACCTGGCAAGAGCCTGTCGCATAGCATATCGAGCATCCAGAAGCACTGCTCTTCGGACATGTAGATGAGTAAAGCAGCCACGAGGATATTTTGCCCTTGACAATAGCCCAGCTCCGGATTCTTCCAACTGTACGCCGTGAGGACTCTTCTGAGCGCGTCGATGCCTTTTGGACTCTGATACGCGGCGAACTCCGGCAAGGAACGATACAAGTCTTTCTCTATCTCATCCGTGCTCGTGCTTGTCTTTCCCTCATTGCGCTTCAGGATGGCTTGATACTCTCCTGCGCGCGCGAAGCGAGTGTAAATCGACCCGCTCGTGAGCTCCCAAATTTCGCCTCTCAGCCTGTTGGGTAGCCCAACTTGGACCAAGCGGAGGAATTGAGGGTATCGCACCAGCGTGAGATTGCGGCCGTGAACTGGGAAGCACAAAGATTGAGTCAGAGTGCTTGGGTAGAGTGACGCCACCAATCGCGCATGATGATTCCCAACTCACCTCTTAGATAGTCCTTCCACAGTTTCAGCTTGGACTTTTCACGTAGTCTATGTGCAGACCAGGCTTCAGCGATGCGACCAAAATGTACGGGTATGCCGGTCGACTTACTTGCGAGGGTCGCCTGGAAATTTGAATTGGCTACCCAAACCAGCATGGTAAGGTGGAGGTGGGGGCAGGTCGCCGCTTGGTGCGGGCACCACAGCGCTGTCACCGTCCACCGCCTCTGATGTGGCTTGCGTGATGGAGTCCTTCTCCGTCACAGACGCATCAGCATCAGCATCAGCTGTAGCATTGGCGGTAGACCCTTCCGCTTTGTTCTTCTCGTCGGTCGCGTTCTTGTCTTCCGAAAGGAGCACTTCACTGTAGCAGCCGGCTGAAAAGCTTTTGACATTCTTCATGTTTCCGAGCTGAGCTCGCAAGCTGTCGCGGAGCTGAGAGCAGAAGGACTCGCATTGCGGGCGAAGAGCATTCAATTGGATAATCTGAGATGTTTGAGAGAGTTGAAAACGTCAGCCTTGTATCAGACAACAGCAGCAGCAACGGTCGGACTTTGCTGGTCCAGCCCTGGCAGCTGCACTCACGATGCGGCTTCCGTGCCAAACGACAATTGCGAGGGCGAACACTCCGCTTCTGCCCGAGTTCAGTCGTTCTACTCTCCTGACGCAGTAGAGGGGCAGACTCATCCGACAACTTCGCCTATCGATGCTCGAAAAGCACAAGAAGCTGGTGAAAAGGTGCAACCTGCCAGCATAGACCTGCTCTTCATCCGCTGTCGTGCCTGTGGGCGTCTGACCGAGCGACAAGACTGCAGGTATATCATCCACCGGCTCCTCGCTGGAGGGAAGAGCGAAAGAATTGACGAGTGCCGCGTTGCCCGAAGGCTCCTTGTAGTCCCGTAGGGAATGAGCGATCGTCGACATCGCCGAGCAGCTTCGAGAAGTAGCCAGCGGTGCTTTCGCAGATGATTCCGAGACGCGGAAGTCACGTCTGAATTGTTCTTCGGAGGCGATATGGATATTTGATAGGACAGATGATGAACGCAGCAGCGTGTTCGCGCTCGCGCAGGCGCTCAAGATGGTCTGGCAGATGACGCTCTCGACGGCCTCGATGCAGCTCGGTGAGCCAATGGGTCGGCCCGAAGAGATGCTGCTAGCAGTACGCTGACTTTGTTGTCAAATATGCTTGACCGTGCGGTGCTGAATGCGGGCAAGTCAGTCGCTGTGGTACCTCAATGCGGAGAATGAGTACGCAATCTTGAATGTTTCAATCGTGAATCGTGAATCGTGAGTCGTGAATGAGGCTGTGAGCGCATAGCGACTCGGCCTCGGCCAGCGCCCTCGATCGCGGTGCGCGTGCACGCGCCATGCACCTTTAATAGGCACAACAAGCCACGTGGCTCGTGGCAGCCATGTACAGCAGAGCCGGGGCACGCCGTCGTCCAGTCGG